GGATGTAGCTCAATGGCGGAGTTCTTGCCAAGCATGCCCAAGTCACTGAGTGTGATCTCCAGCTCCGCAAAAATAAGTAAATAAAGTTTTGAAAAAAGTTTTGAAATGTGAATGACTATCTCCTAATCAGTTTTCTAAAAGAAAGTTTATAATTTTTTTTCCAGGTTGAACTTTTCAAATACTAATTAGACTGTTAGTGTCTTTTATGTGACAGGAATCAAATGTTCTTAGAAATATGGAAATATGATTAAAAAATTAAATATGTCTTGAAACCCCAGGGTGTCTCACAGTAGCCACTGGATAAAGGCTATCGCATCCCAACAACCCCTCAGAAACTCCAGACTCTTGGCCATGTTGCTTGTGCTCTGCATAAGGGAGCCATCGCTATTAAGCATCTTTTGTGGTCAGTGCATTTATTGTGGGCACATTTTAGCAGTTCAGACATGATTTCATGGGGACTTAATTATTTTAAAATTTGATCTATACAATTATTACTTCATAGGTACCTCAAATAAAATTGCTAACAATAAGCACAACATTCTAGAGCTCTCTCCATGGCAAAGAAAGGCCTCAACCCCCTTCTCTCTGAAGTCAAAACAAGGTCAAGCTCAGCCAGGGTGCTGCTCTAGTCCCACGAAGCTGAGGCTTTACGTGGAGGTGGTTCCTGCCAAGGTGTCCCTTTACTGTAGCGGAAACTGCTGTGCTTCCAGTGGCGTGATCCTGTCCTGACACTCTTTCCCCTCTGAGGGTTCATAGTTTTGTATGGAAAATTAGTTCAAGTTCAGCAAACTACAAAGCTCACCCTATTTTAATTTGGGACCTGCAAATGTTGCCATCCTTCTGCATTGCCTTGCTTGAATGCTCTGCTTAACACTTTATGTTAAAAGCGCCAGCCTTGGGCTAGCAGCGTGGCTCATGTGATAGAATGTCTGCCTTGCAAGTAGGAGGCCCTGAGTTCAATCCCCAGTGCCACCACCAAAAACGAAAAGGCACCAGTGTCCAGTCGGACTTCTCTGGTCTACTGCTTTTTCCCAGTGAGCCTTGAACAAATTACCTACATACATATAAAATGTATGTATTAGTACTAATTACTCACAAGGTGGCTGTGAACTTGGAATGGGCCAGTACAAGTAAAACTTGTAGCAGGTTCTCACTCGATAAACACTGTTGAGTGTAGGATTCCCCAGTCTCTTTGAATCGCTTGTATCCTTCCCTACCAAATGCAGTGGGCATGCTGAAGACTCTAGCGAGCATAACCTGGGTTACTCACCAGGGAAGCGGAGTTCTGGCCACTCCAGGCCTGTCTCTTCACTCTGCCCTGGGCCACAGTCCACACCCTGAACCCCGTCAGCTGCCTTCATGCCAGCCTGGCCTGGAAAATGTTGGGGTAGGCTCACTGCACATCCCACTCCCATCTCAGAGAAGACAGCTCACGCCTGCCTCCCACCCCCAGACCTAAGCTAGGCTTTGTCCTGGATGGGCCCCTTAATGGAAAGCAGAAGAGGCTCATGGAGTGGTGGCCTGTCCTTTGGGGATGATCTTCTGCAAATTAGGTGCCTGTGGCATGGGTGACAGTTTTAGCTTGTTGATCTGACTTGGACATTGCCCTCAGTGCTGCGTTCAGACCAATTTGTGAGAGAGCAAGGGTAGCGTGGGAAGAAGGGGTGATGAACTCGGCTGGGAGGCATTAGGTTTAGAACCTGAGAGGACACATGGACACTGAGCCTTGGGAAAAGCAGAGCCCAGGAAGAGAAGGAGGAGGGGGGGCTTCCAGCTGAGGCACTGAAAGCAAGAATGGGTCTGAGGGGAAAGAATGAGGACAACATGGTGCCAAGCATGGTGCCAAGCTTCTCAACCCATCTCTCTGGTGTGTGCTGGCGTCCAATCTGCTGAACAGTGCTTTAGTATTGGGGCTGGTGAAGTAGCTCAAGTGGTAGAGCATCTGCCTTGCAAGTGTGAGGCCCTGAGTTCAAACCTCAGTCCCACCAGAATTAAAAAAAGAAAAATTACCAGAGAACTGAAATGAAAAACAGTAATAATTACATAATATATAAGATATATTATATATAATAATAATTTTTAAATTATTAGATTTATACTTACAGAATTATTCTGTCCAGTTACATTTAAAAGTTTCTAAATATCTACTCTCAATTTCTGTAAGTATGTCATCAAGGACTGACACATAGTTTCATGCCAGCCCCATCATCACCACCTTGAGCAGCACAGCCCAAGACGTGAGCAGTCTAGATGACAAATGAGAAGCCCAAAGGAAACATGGCAGCCAGCCATGAAAGAGGGGCTGAGGAAATGGTTGGATTGTTCTAGAAGCTCACTGGTGGCCATAGGGAGCAGTTTCACAAATGGGATGCATATGGGGCCAGTCTTGAGGGCAAAGGAGAGAAGCCTGCAGGTACACACTACCCGGAACTCATATCGCACACACAGAATAGACTCTGAATCTCCACTGCCTCCCCCAGTTGAAAACTTTTGTGGAGGAAGGTGAGAAATAGCAGAGCTTCAAGGGTCGTGACAGTTTTTCAAGATGGGGAAAGAAAAGCCTGTGCATGGTTAAGGAAGCTGGGAAGGAGCTGGTGCCGGTGGTTCAGGCCTGTAATCCTAGCTGCTCAGGAGGCAGAGATCAGAAGGATCAAGGTTCGAAGCCAGCCCGGGGAAATAGTTTGTGTGACCCTATCTTGAAAAAATCCATCACAAATAAGGTCTGGTGGAGTGGCTCAAGGAGAGCAAAGATTTAATATGCTCACCTGGGCTCCCCAGAAGTTGGAAGGTGGGCAGAGGACATCTGACCAGTTCTGCCATCTCATCACACACCAATCTCTGTCCTAGTTCCCAATGGTCCAGCCTCAATTGCTCCATATCTATCTGGCTCCTCAAAAGCACCAAGCTCTCTGCAGCCTCAGGACCTTTACATGTGCTCTTCCCCTTTCCACTGTGATCTTCCTCTGGCTGAGGACTTTTGATCCTTGGGTCTCAGTGACTTTCCCAGCAAGGTCATCCCCTGGCCTAACAGGTCCTCCTTTTCACTTGTAGCAGCCTGACCTCTTCCATCATTGAACTTATGGCAGTTTATATTTATTTGTGTGTGCATTGGTTGGCTATCTTCCTCTAGAGAAGGTAGGAGGCAGGGACAGTAACTGTTTTAGTCATTCCTTGTCATTGATGCCTGAGCACAGTGTCTCCACACAGTGCATGTTCAGAGTAAAATGATTGCTGCATAATTAATTAATAGCACCACTGGAGTAGCATTCATCACTAACATTTGTTGAGTGCTTATTAGATGCCAAGGTCAGTGATGAACACCCATTCTCTTTTCTATCTTTGGACATTTTTTTTTTCTGGTGGGACTGGGGTTTGAACTCAGGGCTTCATAGTTGCAAAGTAGGCTCTTAAAGCAGGCTCTCTACTGCTTGAGCCACACCTCTAGTCCATTTTGCCTTGGTTATTTTGGAGATGGGGGTTAGTAAATTGTTTGCCCAGCTGACTTTAAACCGTGATCCTCCCAATTTCAACCTTTCAAATAGCAGGGATTACAGACATGAGCCACTACAATTTTTTTTTTCAGTACTGGGGATTGAACTCAGGACCAATAGTTGAGTCATGTCCCCAGTCCTTTTGCTTTTTTAGTTTGTCTTCCCAATGAAGTCTTGAACTGTTGCCTGGGCTAGCCTCGAACCAAGAGCCTCCTACCTCTGCCTCTCAAGTAGCTGGGATACCTGTGTGTGCTACCATACCCAGCACTTTGGATAAGCCTATAAAAATCATTACTATTTTTTAAATCAGGACACTGACTTTCAGCCCACTTGAGCAGTTCATCAGAGATGACAAGGGCTTGTGAAGAAGCCACGCCCAGCTGTGTTTTAATCTCAAAGCCACCAGAAAGGCATCTTCCCCAGGTGCCAGAAGGGCCTGGGAGTGTGGGTGAGGAAACAAAGACGATGTGCATTTTTAGGTAGCCAGCTACAATGATTTATTGTCTAGCAAGCATGAATGGAGGGTGAGAGAAGAGCAGTGATTTCTGAGCCACAGGAGGGCTGTGACCATCTGGACCCCATATGAGGAAGCGTGAGAGAAAGGACTTAGGGCCAGCACGGGGATGTGCCCTTGGACAGGTAGACAGCACATGCAGCCAGATTCCACTCGGCCCAGACGTGCTCTGAAGAAATTCCCAGTGGATCTGCTTGGGGAAGAGAATGGGACAGGCCTGGTGTCCGTCGGTCACAAAGAAAGTCATGCTTTCTCTAGACAAGGATGGAAAGAGAGGGAAGGAAAAGGCAGGAGGTGGTATGAACTGGGGAGATGGCTGCACCATTGCAGGCTGCATCATTTGACTCACTTCGTGACATTCCACTAGAAACTTTTCATGGTAGAAAACTATGGTGTGTGCCAGGTCACAAATGAAAGCCAAACCACATTTGAGCAGCTCTCTGGAGGATGGTGGGGAGCCTCAGCTGACCCTGGTAGCCACTAAGTGAGAGGTCTACACAGAACTTGTCCTCACTGCCCTCTAAAAATTAAGGCAGTGTATGATCCATAAACACTAGAGTCTACAAAGTCCAGGAGAGCAAGTGTGGAGTGGTCATTGGCCACCCTCAGTCCTGATGTGGCTTCTGTTTGTTTATTTTCTGAAGATAGGTTTATTTGCAAAGGTAGGTACACTCTGTAAGTGTACTTTACCATTTTCACTTAGCCTAACAGCATATATATTCTTGTCAGCAAAAGCTACATGTCTTACACCAGGCATGGTAGTATACATCTATAATTCCAGCACTCAGGAAACAGAGGCAGAAGGATTTTGTGTTCAAGGCCAGCCTGAGCTATGTAGTGAGATGCTATCTCAAAATAACAAAAACCAAAAAATGCTGTATTTCATGGATATTCACACCTTTTACAAAAATCAGAATTTCAGTAACAAATTTTTCCAAGAAAAAGAACCTGGGAATGGGGTGTGTATTCACTGAAGCAGCCTAAATTGATTCAAGTTCTTGGTTTTTCCCTCCCATGTTGCACAACCCAGAAAGTCCTATGAGTTTGAAGACCTACTTCAGTCTTCTTCTGAGAATAATAGGGTGGACTGGTATGCACAGACTAAGCTGAGCCTCACACGCACTTTATCTGAGGAGAACGTCTATGAAGACATTCTAGGTAAGAGGCCAAAATGACTATCTGTGAGAAAAGGGGACAGGAATTTTCTCCCCTTTCCTTGAAATGCAAACACTCAAAGACAGATGCGCTGTGGAATGAATGAGATAGTAAGGTGATAGGGGGTGGGGGGAGTGGACCTCAGTGGGATGAGTGAGGACCAGGGGCTGGAGCGGGGAGGCAGGGCTAGCAACAAATAGCCCAAGAGACAGCCTGATGGTCCAAGAAGTATGAGGACTGGAGTTTTAAGATCCAGGATGGAATCTTGGCTCTGTCACTTGTTAACTGTGATACTGAGCTGGTGACTTAACTTCTCTGAACTTGAGTCCTCTTGTCTGTATAGTGAGGATGATGGCAGATCTGTGTTTAAGGACTGGAGAGAATGTAAAAGATCTGCAAAGGCTTCCTCAGTCGTAGGGGTTACTGAATGGAACAGAAAAAGAAACAGATTTGTAGTACAGACTAAATGAACATCTGTTGTTAGAAAAGTAACTGGCCTAGCTCTAATGCCTCCTCTCAGATTCCAAGTTAGTTTGGGGAGTTCAGTAATCTTCAGGGAAGATTGCAGCTTCACGGAGTTGTGAACTGAAGTAATGTCTGTCCACAGTGGCAGAAAACAGGAGCTGGAAAGAGGGAGAAACCACAGGTGCGTGTGGGGTGGGGAGACAAGGAGAGCAGTTCACACAGACAGCAGGTGTGGAATCTCCAGTACCAGAAAACCCCGTGGGCAGAGGAAGTGCAGGACTTGAAGAAGGGCTCATGTAGATGAGCCATTTGAATTGCACTGGAGTTCCATTCCAGGCATTCCACCAGGAATTTTCCACTGAAATAAAAGGGAATTTAAAGGCTCCTGTACCAGAAATGGCATTTTCTTCCTCCATTTCTTATCTCCCAGGTTAGCTCCATTCTCAGCAGTGTCCCATGATACCCGGGATAGCTGCCATCAGCTCCCTGGAATCCATGCCTTCCCTTGTGGAAGGTGAGCCTGTTCCTGCAAGTTCCAGTGGAGATCGTGAGGTTCACGCTGGCCAGGCCAGCCCAGATCCCTTGCTCACTTTCAGAGCTAGTGAATGTGATGCTGCGATTGCCATAGGCTTGGGAATCGAGGCCTTTCTGGAACTCATCACAGAGGCAGGGGTCTGGGCTTCTCAGTGGTGAAAGTCACCCAATAGGAGTGGAGTTGATCTTGTGTGGCTACATATGGGGACAGAAGGAGAAACCACAATGAAAATCAGGATCTGTTGCTAAGAGGAAGGTTGATGGCTCACCAAACAACAAACATCCCACAAGGTCAAACACAGGAAAGGTCGAGATGGTGGCCAAAGTGGTCCCATAAGGAAAATTGGCCAGGTTCCTAACCTGTTGCTTTTGACCACAGATCTGCCAATGAAGGAGAACCCTTATGAAGACATCGAGTTGCATGGCCGCTGCCTAGGCAAGAAGTGTGTCTTGACCTTTCCTGGGTCTCCCAACTCTTCCATCCCTGACACTGCCACTAAGGTATGAGTCCCTGGGGAACAGTGGCAGGAGCAGGGTCCCCAGCACCATGGCCTCCAGCAGTCTGGAAGTTTAAGGCCTCCTCCTGGATCTGTCCATCTGCTGTCTGACTGATCTTCCCCCTCTAGGATTCTTGGAACCTGCCTGCTAACAGATCCTCCTAAAATACCATTGAGCTCAGAGCCCTCCTCAGACTTGGTCCACACTGGTCAGAAGAATCTCTGAGATAGGAGACTGAAAGGCAGGGTATAAAAGAGGATTTTTTAGTATGTTCCCATCTGTGTAAGGTTTTTTGGTTTTGTTCTCATTTTTGAGACAGGGTCTCACTATGTAGCCCAGGCTGACCTTGAACTGTCCTTAATCCTTGACCTTAATCCTTATGTCTCCATTTCCTAAGTACTGGGATCACAGGTGTGCATCACAACACCCATCTCTCATTTGTGGCTTTTCTTTTTAATGGAAGAATATACAGACTTGTAAACTCACATGTGTTTATGGATATACAAGAATATCTTGTAAGGGAACCTAAGAATGGATAAGCAGGAGTCTTGTGGCCCTGTCTCAGTGTCTGAATACCTGGAGGTACTTTTGGGCTACAAGACAGAATTTCTTTTTACAGAATATCCTTTTGAACATTTTGGAGTTTTATACCATGTGTATCTTTCCTAATTGATCCTGGGCACCCATTACTACTTCATCTCTCATACTTCCTACATGCAGATGCTCCCTGCCAACAGAGCCTCCCAACTGTTCCGTGGATATTAGCAGCCAATCCTAGACAAAGGATGAAAAAAAAAAAAGATGAGATGGGTGCCGGTGGCTCACACCTATAATCCTAGCTGCTCAGGAGGCAGAGATCAGGAGGATTGCAGTTTGAAGCCAGCCTGTGCAAATAGTTAGAACTTATCTCAAAAAAAAAAAAAAAAAAAATCACAAAAAAAGATTGTGATCTGGTGGAGTGGCTCAAAGTTTAGCCCCTGAGTTCAAACCCTGGTACCACAAAAAAAGAAAAAAAGATATTATCAGCAAACTTTCTCTCAAGGGTCAGAGAGTAACTATTTTAGGCTTAGTGAACCATGTGGTCTCTGTTGTGACTATTCAATACAGACAATTGTAGCGGGAAGCAGCTGTAGACAATGCATAAACAAGTGAGTGTGGCTGTGTTTCAGTAAAACTTTACTTATGGGCATGCTGACGCACATCTGTAATACCTATAGTCAGGAGGTTGAGGTCAGAATATCAAAGAGTTCAAGAATATCTTGAGCTGCACAGCAAGACCCTGTCTCAAAAATAACTAAAAATCAGGACTGGAGGTGTGGCTCAAATGGTAGGGTGCCTGCCTACCAAGTGCAAATCCCTGAGTTCAAACCCTAGTATCACCAAAACAAAAAACAGAAACAAACAAAAAACCCCAAAACCTTTATTTATGGGCACTCAATTTTGAAATTTGTATAATTTACACTTATCATGAAATATTATTTATTTTTTTAACCATTTAAAAATGTAAAATCTATTCTCAGTTTGTGGTGAATCAGATGAGGCTCACAGGCTTTAATTTGTTGATCTGTGTACTCGGTCATTTCTACCTCTTCCCTGGGCTCTCACCTAGACCCCATCCCCATCATCTTAAGAGCCAGCTCAATCATGTCTTTTTCAGGAAGCTTCTTAGGCCATCTCAACCCTTTGGACTTCTTCCCCTCTGATTTCCTCTAAAACTCGAAGACTAAATCATTCATTTCACATCAAATTGCATATTGTATTGTGACATATCTTACATTGATGAGTTCAGTTGTGTTTTAAGTCATAGGATGTATCTTAAAGATATCTCCCTAGCAAGATTATGAATTCCTCAAGGCCAGACTACTTACATTCTGTTCCTTTGTGTCTCCCTAGAAGTAATTGAATATAATATTCAGTCTTCGAAGAAATTAAAGGAAGAACAAGTCTAGGCTGCAGGTCTCAACTTAAATTCCATTTTCAGGTTCTGTGTCTAGCCTGAGAACAGCAGCCCTCTTTCTGTTGGCTCCAGGGGTCAGCATTTGCTGGTGGGTGGGGATGGCTCTATAGGAGGTACGCCTTCCACACTTGGTGATCAGCAAGAGAAGCTTCTTGCTGTGGTCTTCCAGGAGGGTAGGGGTACAACCTATCATGAAGGGTACAGCTTACAGCCCCACATCAGCTGCTACAGTACCAACTCAAAACCAATTAACTGCCTCTTCTCCCCTCCTATGGAAAAAAGAATTGCCATGAATAATCCATGACAACCAAACTTTATACTTTCTACTTGCCTTGGAAATGTATTCGTGTTTTCACTGGAGTATGGATGTCTCCAGCATTGGAAAATCCTTCTTTTCCTTAAGTGGATAAGCCTGACTTAGAAAAAGGAAAGCGGTCATACCCATTCAGCCTCCTCACATCCTGCCTGGCTCCCCACTGCATGCTGGGAGTGAGTGTATCACCTCTTATGAGCAGTGAAGAACGTCTCCTTGGATCACCTCTGCGTTCAGAGCAAGGGGCTCCTCTCTCGTACCAGACAATGAAGACTGAGCAGCCCTTTCTTCCTGCTCCCGGCAGGCAGAAAAAACCTAGAGCCTTCTCTACAGAACAGCCAAACCCAGTCTTGCTGTCCAGAGGCAGCTGTCCTGAAGAAAAGAATCCTTGACCGGGGCACATGTCCAATTGCCACTGATACTTACAGGCTTCTGTAAGTCATCATCTGTGTTCATTTCTCTGCTCTCCCACATCTGCCTGTGCCCCCACTCTGAAGGTCAGCCGCAGACTCCACCACTTCCTCCATTCTACTCATCGAATATTCATTGAGCGGCTGCCACAGCTGGGCTGCATCTGGGACCTTAGCAGCAGCAGAAGCAGCCCTTCTGTGTCAACCTCCTCACCAGCCGCAGAAGGGTCCTGAGCCATCTTCAGGATGTTCACCTCTTCTGGTCCCCGTGGAGAGGGAAGGTCAGTTGCACAGACTGTCCTCAGAGAGGAGTAGAGTGAGCTTGTTAAAAAGAAACGTGGGCTCCTGAGAAGATGGGACCATCTTCTTTTCTTGCTGTATGTTACCCACCATTCCCATACCTAGTCCAGCACAGGGAATATGGCAGGAACTATGAAATAAAATAAACCTGGGCTAATACAAGACACTCTTATTTACATATTGGTTCCATTCAGACAAAGAAGAGTTAGGGATTTGGGACCTGAATACAGATCAGCTCCCTCTGAGCAGGTACAAGGCTTCTTGCAATACCCTTTTCTCCACCAAGATGTATCCTGGTCAGGATCCATTATGTTCACCTCCGGAAATGACTTGAAAGGTTTCAACAGGGAAGTTGGACCTGGGGCTAAGAGGGTCCTCTGTTTCTCCCTTTTGGACACTGCAGATCTTTTGTGGTGCCCACTGAGTCCACGTGTATAAGATTAGGGAGACTCCGTGTGTCTGTGGACAGAACTACTAGATAGAGACACACGGATTAGTCATTATGCATGTCGGGATGAGAGCCTCTGATCAAAACCAGGAATCTTCTCCAGACCACAGTCTGAAAAAAAAATCTTGAAGGTCCTATACTGATTTTCCTTTTATATTATAGTTAGGATTTGGCAAACTACTGCTGGCTGCCTGATTTTTATGAGTAAAGTGTTATTAGAACACAGCCATGCTTATTCCTTCACATATTGTCAATGGCTGCCTTTGCAGTTCGAAGGCACAGTTAAACAGCAGCAACAGAAAGGGCATGGCCCACAGAGCCTTAACTACTATCTAGGTTTTTAAGAAAAAGCTTCCTGGCCTTTGCTAAATCCAAGATTTATATACAGTCATTGTGGTATCATCTCTCCCATCTGTTTTGAGACTCTCTCTGAGCCATGAAGCTCTCTCTGATTGAATTTGCTCTTCCTCATCACTAAGCCTAATCACAAACTGCTGTATATGTGATAATGTTCTTTCCCCCAGCCCACTAAACCTTCCCTTTTTATCAAGTAAGAAGCTACTGAAATTCTACCCCTCAAGAACTCTCCCTGGACATTTGGTGGCTTATTTAGGTGCTCTGGGACACACCAGGAGCCCCAGCTGTGACACTGAGAGATGCAGCCCACACACAGCTTGCAGCAGGCCTCTTGGCATTCTTTAGAAATGTATGTTGTGTTTTGACTCCTTTTGCCTTTCCTCTTGGATCGTTTCATAGGTCAAATCTCTTCTAAACAAATGCTAGCACAGTCTAAATCATTAATGAAAACGGATTCTTACTGGTTGCCAACAATTTGATAGACTTTACTGCAGTGAAAGAATTAAGATATTTGTTTGGTTTTCATTTCAGTTAGAATTAGGCCTTTCAAAAGGCTACCACTATTCCTTCTTTCTGTGTCAATGTGATTAAGGTGCAATTAAAGTGACCAGATCAGGTCAGCTCTTCTTCTACTGAAAGCTTCCTGTACTAAGCAAATTCTTGCTCCTTGTGGAGCCGGCCATTGGAACGACAAGGAGTCTTTATTTCTGGAAATCTTGAAAGAGATTCTGAAATTCTTACTACATAGTACTTGGAATGAAGCAAGAATGGAAAACTCACTGGAACAAAATAGGCCTATTCTAGGAGAATTTAAGATACAATAAAAGTGGCCTTGTAAGTTGATAGAAAAAGAAAGGCTCATTCATTCATTGAACGGAATAGGGATGGATTAGTTTGGGAAAAAATGATTTAGATTAACATAAAATAAATTACTGATGGATTAATGAATAAAATGTGTTCAAAACAAACCAAGAAAATCCAGAAGAAAACAGAATTAAATATTTATTAAACCTGTAAGAAGAGATAGATTTTCTAGGCAAAGAATGAAAGAGATTAAATGAAATCACAAGGGGAAAGATTAACAGATCCTCATATAAAAAGTGTTACATGGAACTGGGGTATAGCGCAGTGGTAGAACACTTGCCTACAGTGATCAAGGTCCTGGAGTCCTTGCCCCAGCATGGCAAAAAAAAAAAAAAAAAAGTTATGTAAAATATTCTATATAACCAAAATAAAAATACACTGGTGCCGGGCACCAGTGGCTCACACTTATAATCCTAGCTACCTCGGAAGCTGAGATCGGGGGAATCATGGTTTGAGGCCAGCCCAGGCAAATAGTTCATGAGACTCCCCCACCTGCAAAATAATCAGAGCAAAATGGATTGGAGGTGTGACTCAGGTGGCAGAGCCCTGCTTTGCAAGAGTGAAGACCTGAGTTCAAACCCCAGTCCACCAAAAAAAGAAAGTATGTATATGTGTGTGTGTGTGTATGTGTGTATGTAGGTGTGTATACACACAAGTAAACCACACTGGGAATGCAAAGTACAGTTGCAGCAAAATTGACAATAGTTAAAGTAGTTAATATGTGTTGTACAAAGTGACCTTTTCTCTCACTTTTACCAGCAGAGTGAGTTATCAAATGTTTTTACCTCTGCTAGTCTTTGAGTAGAAATGACTCCTCAGTGGAACTGTAATTTTCTTTATCTGATGGGTGAAGCTAAGAGCCTTTCCACGTATCCAAGATGCATGCATTTGCCTTTCTATAAACTTCCCATGCTTTTGCCTGCTTTTCTTTTGAGTCATTAGGCTTTTTCTTATTCATTTGTAGTATATATCAGGAAAAGGAGTTCTCCATTATGTGTTGAATTTTTTTTTTGTTAGTGGCACTGGGATTTGAACTCGGGGTCTCATGTTTGCCAGGCAGGCATTCTTACCACTTGAGCCACTCTACCAGCTTATGAGTTGGAAATTTTTAACAAGTTTTTTGTTTGCCTTTTGATTTAAAGAGGCTCATTTTAGAAATAAGATAAAGAGAGAAAATTACCTGTCTAGCAGGCCCTGGTGAGCCAGCTTAGGGTCACAGCCAGGCTTTGGTCTTGTGACTCCGGATACCTGTGTCTTGGATTGTCAGACAGCCTCACCTGTAAGCCAAGAGGTTGAGCCAGGGGACTTCCCACTGTTCTGAAAAGAGTGACTGGATCAGATTGCGTCGTTTATCACACAGCTTTTCCACAGTTGCGTGCTAAGGGTCTGTTGAGCCCTTAGTGTTCCCTGGGGAACCCAGTCCAGCCCCTTCATCATTTCTGCATGGGTCACCTCCCTCTCGGTCCCCTTTCATGGATTTACTCTTCTTTCCTCACACAGCAGTCATTGTCCAAACCTACTTTTTTCCGGCAAAATTCAGAGAGGAGGAACTTCAAACTTCTGGACACTAGGAAGCTGAGTCGGGATGGAACTGGGTCCCCTTCCAAAACCAGTCCCCCCTCCACACCCAGCAGCCCCGACGACACATTCTTTAACCTTGGAGACCCACAGAATGGCAAGAAGAAGAAAAAGATCCCCAAGGTAACACTTGCAGCAGCTTCCTTCCCGTCTGTACCTCCCCCTTCTTTTCTCTGCAGAAGAAGCTGGGTGAGACCTGTTCCCTGTGTCACACAGACCAGGTAGACACGGTGAACGCCAGCAGGTGAGGGTATCTAGCCCTCTGTCCTGTCATCACTGTGGTTCTGTGGCCTTCTCCTAGAAGTCCTCTCCCTACTCATCCCTCTAACTGTTCTTCTGATGCCAGAGAGAATTTTCAATGTCCATCCTGAAAAGCTCAATTCCTCCCCTTCCTGTCCTCAAAAAGCAAACCTCCATCCATTGTGCCCTGACCTGAGACGTCTCAGCACCCACTGCACAGGCAGGCACCAGTCTGTGCTCCAAGGCAGCATTTATCAAAACACACCTCTTTGTCATCGAAAAGGTAAAACTTGGATGTGTGTGCTCATTACATTCCCTGTCACTCAGTTCCAGCCCTACACTGCTGGTCTCTTCGTTGGTCAGTTTCATACTGCAGGGGACACTTCCCCAGAGTCTACAGGTAGGCTTGCTAAACTAAGACAGATTTAACCAGAGAAATGCAAATGACTTTTATTTACATGAACAGTGGGAGCCCTGGCAGGAAAAATGGAGACCCAAAGAGGTGATTGGGCCTAAGTATTTACAAGCTGAATTAAAACATTGTGGTAATTGTGGAAAACAAGGAGACAAGGGCTGGTTTGACAAGGTTTGTTTGCATCTGTTTCTCTTGGCCGCAACCCTCCTTCCCCAGTGGGAAGAGTTTTTCTTTCCTCCTGGAGTAGGAGGGCCTCTTTCTCATGGGAGTTTCATGTCCCTACTTCCAGGAAGAAAAGGAACATCCGAACATCTGTACCTGGTGGGTTTCAAGTACCTTTAGCTCAAAATAATCAATGTGCCAAAGCATCCCCTTTGGGGGTGACACGTTTTCAACCCCTTCTGTCCACTTTTCTACAAGAACTTTTGGAGTAAGGATTCTTAATTCCACAGCTCATGCATGGACTTTAGGGGTTCATGAAACCCATAAAACTGGGTCAGACTTTGAGCAGATAAATTTGGGGGCGGATTATGATAGGACATTGTTTGTAGGCTACATTGGATTTCTCAAAGTGGCCCATTGACCTGAAGGAAAGTCAAGGGACACATTCATAACCACAATGTAGTGTGGTTAATCAGTGTTTTGAGCCACGATTTCACTCCACCAGCATTCTTATCCAGGTGAGAGAACGAGAAGGGCCATTAAGGTCAGGGGTCAGGAAGAAGGCCTAAAACCTGCAGCCTGGCGCTCGCGTGTGGAATAAGGGAGAAGCCACCCTGCTTTGCTTCGCCAAGGCAGAGAGGAGCCATGCCTCGTTCCCCTACTGTTCTGCTTGGCCCTGGCGTAGGACACAGTGCAGTCACTTATTGATTCTGTAGTGTTTACTGAGTACGCACCCTCTAACATGTAATCTGGTCCCTTCCAACCCTGGCACAGGGTCACTCCTGTGTCTTTTATGGCTACCCTTAGAGCCTCTGTCTTGTCCTGGAGCTTCCAGGGGAGCCCAAGATGTGGGGGTCCTGTGCCACCATCCTTAACTCATCTTCTGCAGGTCCTGGCATGACTCATACTTTGTCTCACAAACTGTTTGCCCAGGCTGGCTTTGAACTGAGATCCTCCTGATCTCTGCCTCCTGAGTAGCTGGAATTACAGGTGTGAGCCACTGGTGCCGGCAGAACTCTCTCTTGAACTCAGGGCCTTGAGCTTGCCAAGCACATACTCTACCACTTGAGCCACACCCCCAACCCTTTTTGCGGTAGTTATTTTTCACATAGAGTCAAGTTTTACCCCCTGGCCAGCGTGGGTGGTGATCTTCCTGTTTATGCCTCCCGTGTAGCTGGGGCCAAACTCTTTTTTTTTTTTGGTGGGACTAGAGTTTGAACTCAGGGTTTGCATTTGCAAAGCAGGCTCTCTACCAATTGAGCTACACCTCAGTCCATTTTGGTCAGGTTATTTTGGAGATGGGGTCTCATGAACTATTTGCCTGGGCTGGCCTCGAACTGTAATATTCCCAATCTTAGCCTCCCATGTAGCTAGGATTACAGGTGTGAGCCACCAGTGCCTGGCTGGTTTTGTTTTGTTTCTGTTTTTTCTGGTGCTGGGTATTGAACTCACACAAGCTCTGCATCATTTTCTCGAAATCAGGATTCTTGCCAGTACACCCTTGTTCCATGTTTTGGACCCTTAAATCGTTTGCCATCCCAAACTCTTGCTTTTGTGTTCGTAGCTAGCCTGAAGGACTTAATAGTGTACATATAGCTAATCAGACAGCACGTTGTTTCTTTAATCTGCCTCTGCCTTGAGAGGCCCTCCTGGTGTGGGGCGCTTGCCTTGATTTCTCCCTGCTTCAGCCTGAGAGGAATGAGTGTCCCAGAGCAGACGAGAGAGGAAAAAGAAGGCCTTCTTGTCCGGCAGCCCTGCCTGCCATCAACATGGCAACTGAAATAGCGCATTAACTACAGAGCCATGCGAGGTCCTCCAGACTCCTAGACCCTGGGATGTCTGTGATCACTAGACACATTCTCACATTTTCCTGGCCTACTCTTAGTGTGCTGCTCCCCCCTGCACACTTTAGAGGGTGTCTCGTGAATCCATGGTTTCTTCAGCAACCACCACAAGCAGAACAGAACATCTCTAAAGAGATGAGGTAGCTCACACTTGTAATCCCAGTTACTCGGGAGGTAACCTCCCAGCTCAGGCAAAAAGTTATCAAGACCCTTTCTCAACCAACAAGTCTGGCATGGTGGTGCTTGTTCATAATCCCAGCTATGAGGTAGGCATAGGTAGGAGGATTGCAGTCCCAGCCCAGCTTGGGCAAAAACAAACAAACATAAACAAAACATGAGACCCTATCTGAAAAATAACTTAAAAGCAAAAAGGGCTAGGGTTTTTTGTAGCTCAAGTCTAGCAAGCTCAAGGCCCTGAGTTCAAGCTACAGTACCACCAAAGAAAGAAAAGAGAGAGCTCTGCTGAAGCTGACCCAGAGAATGTGTCTTTAAGTAGAGGTGCCTGTTGAGCGCCTCATTTTCAGAGAACTGGGAGAGGTTATCAAAAGACTCCACAGGTCTGAGGACACTAAGAACCCTTCATCACCAAAGCCCACAGGCTCAGAGCCAGAAGAGGCTCGAAATACTCCAGCCCCCTCTGTTTTTAGATGAGGACATTTAGGTTGAGAGAGGCCAAGTAAATGGCCAAAGATGTCCAGTTGCAGAGGCAGCCAGAAAACTGAAAATATATTTAAAATAAGAATTAAAATATTGTGGTTACCATTATATATATATATAAAATGGGGTTTTTTTGTAGCACTGGGGCTTGAACTCAGGGCCTCACCCTTGCTAGGCAGGCAGTCTTACTACTTGAGCCACTCCACCAGCCCTTTTTTTGTGATTTCTTTTATATAGGGTCTCATGGACTATTTTGCTTGGGGCTGGCTACCTCCTGAGTGGCTGGGATTACAGATGTGAGCCACTGGTGCCCGGCCACCATTCTATATTTTTGTTCACTGACGTATACAGATAAAAAGTGCAGGGGATGTAACTCAATTGGTAGAGCACACGCTTAGTGTGCACAAGGCCTTGGGTTCCATCTCCAGCACCAGAAAAATAAATCTGTAATATAACATGTCATATTGCTTCTCAGCCTTTTGACTAAGATCAAGCGTGGTATGTATAACATGTCACCATATAGCTCTATGTGTTCGAAGTAGTAAGAAAAATTTTGTAAGCACCATACAACAGCTAATTTTCGACTTCTCCACTTGTGGGATTCTGAGCCACATGCGCCATTGTGTGCTCTTTGACAAGCCCCAGGGTCCCAGCACAGGAAAGATGTAAGCTCCACCCCCCCACGCCCCCCAGCTTCTCACAAGAGAAGAGAGGAAACAAACACACGGGAAACACCACACTCTTGCTTGGCCAACAAGACAGCGAGAAAAGCGTTGCTTTTGAAGTAGGCCTGCTTTCACGTAAGCAGCAGACAGCTCAGCTGGCCTGGAAGATGCTGGGATAGGGCACAGGGGCTCTGGCAATGATAAAAGGTGGTGGCCATCTGGGCCAGTGGCCTCCTTAGAGGCCTGGGATGTGTCACCTGCCAGAGCCTCCCAGGGCACTTTGGTACCTCACATGCACTGCTCCTGTCCTAGGTGAGGAATGAGTTGAGGTCCAGCACCCCACTGTGGTGCAGGCAGGGCTGGGACTTGGGAACCACTCCCGGCCCTGTTCCCATCCTCTTAGGGCTGCTCAGACATTCCTTGGAATGGTTCCCACCAAAGGGGCCCTGCCTGGGGACTATTTTTTCTGTCTCTTCCTTTTCTTGTTTTGGGATCCAAAGCTTCTTCCCAAGCCACAGTGACACTGAAGTATCAAAGCGAGAACTGCCATCATGCCATGAGCCAATGAAATTGTCTCCCGTGTGTCACAGCTGGACCCACTAGTATGTTTAGACCTCAGCTGCCCATACGGCAGTGCGCACGGTGAGAGTGGCTTATTTTAGTGTTCGTGACAGTCACATTCCCATGTGTCAGGAAAGAATGATTAGAAGAACTGTGAAACAGTTGGTAGAGTGTCCCCTCCCCCTTCGCCGGCCCTCTGTCATCCCTGGCAAAGGCAACTCAGCCACACTGAGGATGGGCCACTGACACTGGCTTTTCTTCTCCTGATGTCTGGTAGCTGGTGTTGCGAATCAATGCCATTTATGAGGCCCGCAGAGGAAAGAAACGGGTGAAGAGGTTGTCCCAGTCCACCGAGAGCAACTCAGGAAAAGGTACAACCCCCAGGCTGCCATCCCTCCTTCTCCCTAGAACCTGAAAGCATCCTTCCTGGAGTTGCTTCCTGCTGTTTCTGGCTGGTTCCCCAAGTTGGGGAGCAAGGTAGTGCTTCCTAACTGTCTGCCACTGCCCCTGGGACGGCCAGAGCCAGAAGCTGGGCCTGGGTGGTGCAACCTCCAGCTGCCATATGCTCTCTGGCTCCCTCTGCTTTGTCCACCTTCAAGTCACCTGGGGGCTGCACGCCTCCGCCTGACCACGGCTCAGCACACATTAAGGACCAGTGTCTTGCCGTAATATTTGATGAAGTAACTATCTTACCTAGAGCCAAGCTAGTTTGGAGGGCCATTGAAGTGGACAGAGTTTGTTCATAACATTTAAGTAGATGACAGAACACCCCCTCTGAGCTAGAAATTTTGGGTCTGTTTCTTACACTCACATTTGCATCTTCCTTCCTTATTCTTTTGGTCCAGTGACAGACGAGAACAGTGAGTCTGACAGTGACACCGAGGAGAAGCTGAAAGGTAAGGACAGCAGTTGCCATAAGGACTCAAGCAGGTGACTTGAAAGCCACAAAGATGGCCCCTCCTCCTTAAGTTTGAAGGACAGACATGGCCTGCTCAAGCTTGCTGGACAAGGCATGAGTGTCTGAGAGGACAGTGGGGCCCAACGGATATTTGGGGCAAGCCAGGCATGCACAGGACCACATGGGGCAGTCCTGGCACCCAGTCCCCAGTTCCCACACCTCTCCCCATGTCAGAGGTGCGATTCCCACTTCGACGTTCCACACTGCTGCCCCTGCCACTGGCCCTATGGCCACTTCTGTCCCAATCCCTGCCAGAGCTGCAGGAAATCTCTTAAGATCTTAGAGCCTTGATCCTTCACCTGTCAAAGAAGTCATTGAAATAATTGGTCCCCAAGGGGCTAACACTCAGTGATCCAGGTCAAACTTTTGTGAGTTTGCCAAGATTTCTCAGACCCCAGGAGAAGTACAGGGGTGCTGAACAACGTGACAGGGACCCGTCTACTAGTGGCTCTAGTGGACCTGCCTCATTTCACCTCTAGCACCAGCTGCCCCCTGGGCCACCCCTAGAATGAAGCAAGTCCCATTCCACTGCAGAGAATTGGTGGGGGGAGGGGAGGATGGGAGTTCTGAATTAGCCGGGTCCCCACCAGTTGAGTCACGCAGGATGTTTACAAAGCTCCCAGTTCCATAAGCTCCACGGTCTGGATTTTGTCACATCGCACAAACTGAAAGACATCGGAAATGAGGGGAGGAGTCCCTGTCCCCACCCTGAAGACAGATGGAGGTGAGACCTTGTCAAACCTCTGCCTGGAGGCCAGACCGCAAAACCCTGGCAGAGTCCTGTGGTCCCCAGCCCCATCACGCTGCTGGCCTGTGCGCCTGTTGAGAGAATGGCTCCTCCTCCAAGTTTGGCAAGGGTCCCAAATAGAGTTTTCTACTAATGTGTTAGCTGTGGGATTAAAAAAGAAAAGTCCTGGAGCTGGGGCTACCTAGCCTGCAGTTCTTCATTGGCAAGAGAGTCCTGTCGGCCCATGGTGTGTGTGTGTGTGTCTCTTTCTCTTCCTTCCCCCCCCTCCCCCGCCTTCTCTCCCTCCCTCCCTCTCCCTCTCTCCCCAGCTCACAGCCAGCGCCTGGACAACGTGAAGTCCCGGGTGAGGCAGGCCCCCCGGTACTCATCCCTGGACCGGGAGCTCATTGAGTACCAGGAGAGGCAGCTCTTCGAGTACTTTGTGGTCGTGTCGCTGCACAAGAAGCAGGCGGGGGCCGCCTACGTGCCTGAACTCACCCAGCAGTTCCCTCTGAAGGTACAGGGAGGCCAGGTCCCTCTGGGCTGCAGTATTCGGCCATGACTTTGATGGGACTCATGGACCCAGAGAGGTGGGGGAGTCTGAGGGAGACCAAGGGTCTAGAACCTTGAAAACGAGTAGGACTGATGAGATGGGAGAAAAGCTGCTAGCTGCTACTGGCCAATGTGGGAGGTTCCAGGCAGACAGACTCAAGGACCTCAGTGCTTTCTCACTTCCTCTGGTCACTCTGCTGACCATTCCCTCCTCTCCAGCTCCTTATCCAAGCAGACACATCTCTTCCCGACCTGTCCCAGCCTTCCCCCGCCCCCCACAAGCCACACAACTCCCCCTAAGTGGCCTTGGCTCTGTGCCTGTGCTAACCTTCCGCAGGTGAGCCGCAGTCGCTGAGTTCGCCTTGCCAGAATCTGGTTTGTGGTTATGTGGGCTTGGCGTTGCCATCTGTTAAATCATTCGTGTAAGACCTGCAGTGTCATGGTCAATGACATGTGGAGTATTCTTGGGCTTTGACGTCAGTACTAAAGAGACTTGCTGTGTTACTTCAGCGTGGTCAGAATTTGCAAAGAACATCTGACATTCAGTCTTTCTGCTTAGCTCTGAGAGAGTACAAAGACGAAAACTTTTTTCTTTTTTTTTTAAAGTGCAGAGTTACAAAGTCACTGTTGAGGCACTGGTGGCTGACACTTGTAATCCTGGCTACTTCGGAGGTTGAGATTAGTAGGATAACGGTTTGAGGCCAGCTCAGGCAAATAGTTCCTGAGGGCCCCCCCATCTCTAAAATAACCAGAGCAAAATACACTGGAGGTGTGGCTCAAGTGATAGAGTGCCTGCTTTCAAAGAAAAAAAAAGAAAGAAAAAGTCACTGTCGATAAGGGAACTAATTCAGAAATATATAGAGAAAAAAGTCACCCATAATTCACTACACAGAGGCCATCTCTATTAGCCTTTTATGTCCTTTCTTACGGTCTTTCTCACAATGTAAATTTCCTCTGTGATCATATATTGTATGATCCTTGTATTTTGTTTCATGTACTGTTTTGTAAACCTATCATTATTTATAAATGTATCTTTAAAAAAATGATGTTGAAAAACATCATTCTTCAACGTATATAATACCCTGCTACATGGATCTCCCTGATCAATATGGATCTACATAACCAGTATGTGTCTTTTTTTATTATTCATTTATTCACACGTGCATACATTGTTTGGGTCATTTCCCCCCCACCCCTGGAAATGCATCTTGCTGCAGGTGTTTCTTTATATAGATTCGTGTGTGTTTGTGAGAGAGAGATAGAGAGACAGAGTCAGAGACAGAGTGGGGAGGGAGGGAAGGAGAAAGGGAGAGAGAGAGAAAGAGAGAGCGAGGGAGAGAGAGAGAGAGAGAGAGGGTCTTGCTGACCCAGGCTGGCCTTGAACTTGAGATCCTTCTACTTTAGCCTCAGTCTCCTGAGTGCTGGGATTACAGATGTGCACCACGATGCCCAGCCCACTTTATATATACAGATTTTCTCTTTTTTTTGCAATGGTGGTTACCCTTCTACATGCATTTTTCCATACCAGGATGCCAACTCCTTGCCTTCACTCACTCTCTCTTTTAAAAGGACCCTTTTCTCCTCATTTTTTTCTCCTTTGTTTTATTTTTCTTCTTCAGTAGAAGTTTTAGCAAGGATTTATTTTAACAGGATAAAGAAGGGAGAGATGGGGCAAAAGGGAGAAACATTTCCTGCTCCCTATCTTTATCAACTTTTTTTTTTTTTAAGGTGGTTCTGGGGTTTGAACTCAGGACTTCTTGCTTGTGAGACAGGTGCTCTCTCACGTGACCCACACATCCAACCCTAAACTTTTTAAAAATGGATTTTATCCCCTACTCCTATCCAGCCACCTTTATTGAGGTTTGCAATCCACATGTGCACGCTAGTGTATCATTAAAATGCTTGCTGTCTGTGCTCGGGTGTAGCATTTGAGGCCCTGGATTTCCAGCCATCTGTGATTGGGTGGATTTGTGAGGGATTTCCATGTTCATATATGAGCATTTGCACAAAGAACTGATGACTCCCAAGTCGGTGACAGTGTGTGCATCATACATGTGACCCCAAATGGTGAGGAGCCATGTTGAAAACCTGTGTCCCTGCAAGGTCGGCTCTCAGTTCTCAGATGCCATCTCCTCTGTGGAAAAACGTCACTGATCCTTCCTTTTATATATATCCTTTATAATTTGGAGTCCTTCACTCTGGTGATTAATGACGCCTTCTTACAATTATACCCAGCTGGTATTTGCCTCCCTCCGACAATCCGAGAGTAGCGTGTCCAAAGGTTAATGCTTTGGGAACAGTCTAAGCTAGTGACCTGTCAACTCAAATACAGTTTTGGACCAGTTGGGATCTTCTGTGCCATGGATGGAAGAGAGAACCATTGTATAGAAGATGGAAAATAGAACTACTATGGTCCTGAAGAAGAAAAAGTAAAGAAAAATTAAGGGCTGGTCACCACCCGCAAGTCTATGAGTGGTGGCTGTGCTCAATTGACTGGAAGTCACAGCCTAGGGTTTCAGTGGATTTGGATCTGGCCCAGGCGACTGACAGGAGAAGCCATTTTTAGGGTTGAAAGCACTCAGAGCAATTTCCTCTGTTCCTCTGGATGCTTGCCTCAGAGACCTGCTCGCTCTGGCTCTTGGTGACTTGGGATTAGAAGTAAAGCAATTAATAGTGCTGGCTGGCCTCCTAACTCCAGAAACTGTTTTGGTGTGGAGGCTGATGGCAAACTATTGAAAACAAAATAAAAAATTGAGGGAAATTATTGCAAGAGGAATTCAGGTTAGACGTTACGAATTTCTAACCTCAGAAACACAGATAAACAGTGTTTCAGTTGCCATAGGTAACGTTAGTATGAGGTGCTTTTCTTTACTGTTTGTAAAGGAAATGTCCCCAGTATAACCCTATCAACAACCATGGCCCCACAATTCTTCTCACCATTTAAAAGTGGCAGTTGACCTTGGTCCTTCCTATTATTGCTTATACTCTCTCTTCAACAAAATTAGAGATAAGGGCAAAATGGTTTCTGCCAGGTAGCAAGGGGTTGGGGGGGAGAGGGAGGGGATGGGGGGGTAAGTGAGGGGGTGGGGGCAGGGGGGAGAAATGACCCAAACATTGTATGCACATATGAATAAAAAAATAAATAAATAAAAGTGGCAGTTGAGGGGCTGGGGTGTGTAGTTTAGCGGTAGCATGCAGGCTTAGCATGCTCGAGGCCCTCGGTTTGATCCCAGCATCAAAAAAAAGTACCAATTGATACACAAATATGAATAATAATTAGATAAATAAATAATAGAAATAATAACTAGATAAAGAATTGGAAATTACTTTTTTCCCAGGCTTATATCTGGGATGTTTTGGAGGTTTGTATATTTTTGAGGTGCTGGGGATTGAACTCAGGGACTTGGACTTGTGCTTGTAGGCAGACACTCTACTACTTGAGTCACACCCCCAGCCCCAGCCCTTTTTTGCTATAGTTTTTTTGGGGGGCGGGCAGCACTGGGGTTTGAACTCAGGGCCTCGTGCTTGTTAGGCAGACTCTCTACCACTTGAGCCATTCTGCCAGCTCTGCTTTTAGTTGTTTTTTAAATAGAGTCTCACATCATGCCCAGGCTGGCTTGGACCCAGATCCTCCTATTTATACTTCCAGTGCAGCTGGAATTACAGATATGTATTACCATACTCAGCATGCTGGCTGAGATAGGGTCTCACTAACTTTTTTTACTGGTTGGCCTCAAACCATTATCCTCCCAATCCCCACCTCCAAAATAGCTGGGATTACAGGTTTGAACCACTGTGTCTGGCCCTGGAGTGCTTTTTAAAAACACAGATTCCTTGGGCTGAGGGTATAGCTCACTGGTAGAGTACTTGCCTAGGGATTTTATCCCCAGCGCTGAAAACAAAACAAAACAAAAACCAGATTCCTGTTCATAGGCAAAATAAGCAAACTCAGGACTTGAAATATGATCTCTAAATCAGACTTTGATTCATCCTGATTCTTAACCTGATAGCATTCATCCAGTCTGTGGTGTGTCAGATTCTGTCCTGTGTGCCAGGATATCATAAAGAGAGCGACAATAAACATGAAAGACAGACCAGAGATTTCAGTTGCTTTCCTTCCTTGCTCTAACACTAGTTGTGATCCTGGACGAGTCACATTTCCTTGTCTCTAAAATAGGAGCATCAGGCTGCATGATGTCTAGGTCCTTAGTCGCACTCAGTGACTCTGGCATGAGTTCAGTTTCTAAGTGTAGCAAAATCTCACTGTCCGTCTTCCCTACGAGTTCATCCATTCTTTGCCTGGGTGCAGAGACAGGAGGATCTGCTGGGCTCAGCCTCCCAGATCCAGGAGCCTCCTGTTGGAAAGGATTGCCGTGCTGACTTGCCTTACTGACCAGAAGAGTTCTATTCCAGAGCACTGAGCATAGAGAACATTTCCCTACGGCAGCCTGTGGTTCTCTCCTGACTTCTCCCTAAGCCTATAGACAGAGCCGCCTTGGGGCAAAGCCCCACACACAGACCTGGCCCCCACCCCTCCCCAAGGGAGCCCACAGGAGCAGTCACTGCAGGGAGGCCTGGAAAGGAGCACGACCGACCATTACCCTCCCCTCTCCCATGTTGGGGTTTGTTCAACAACCTTCTCGCCCTTCTCCCTGCAGTTGGAAAGGTCTTTCAAGTTCATGAGGGAGGCTGAGGACCAGCTGAAGGCCATCCCCCAGTTCTGTTTCCCCGATGCCAAGGACTGGACTCCTGTGCAGCAGTTTACCAGGTATGTTCTGGCATCTCCCCTTCCCACACTTGAAGACTAAGGTGGGGGGGGGTAGTAGCTGGCAGACCCACATAAGTCAGTCCTACCCATATGCACTAGAACTAGAGAACTCCCCCACCCCCCATGGGGTCCTTAAAACTTCCCTGAAGCTGGGCACCAATGCCTCAAGCCTGTAATCCTAGCTACTTGGGAGGCTGAGATTGAGAGGCTCTTGGTTCGAGGCCAGCCTGGCAAATAGTTTGTGAGACCCCATCTCCAAAATAACCAGAGCAAAATGGACTGGAGAATTTTGCAGGAGGGAAGCTCTGAGTTCAAACCCTAGTCCCACCAGAAAAAAAAAAAAATTCCCTGGTTCAGCAGATCAGCAGCTATATCAGGTCTCCCAGTCAGTCTGGGAGCATGTGTGTTTTGTAAGTGTCATGAGTGACTGCTAGCCTGGGGCGTTCGGGAAGCATTTGTTGCCTGTCGTCCATCTTCACCCAGTGCTGACATTTCAGCTCCAGCGTGTGCTATCAGATGCTGGTGTTTCTGTCACCCACCGTTCCAGGATTTGGCAGAACTCTGTAGGCTGCATCCGCTGAGAGCTGGAGGGACACTGTCCCATGAACTTGGCCTAGCAGTCTTTTTTTTTTTTTTTTTGTGGTACTGGGGTTTGAACTCAGGGCCTCACGCTTGCTAGTTAGGGCTCTGTCACTCCCTTTTTTGTGCCAGGTATTTTCAAGATACGGTTTCTTAAACTATTTGCCCAGGCTACAAACTTCTATCTTCCTGATCTCTGCTTCCCAAGTAGGTGGGATTACAGGCGTGAGCCAGTGGCACCTGGCTGGCCCATCAGTCTTTAAGAACAATGTAAGCCTCAACTTAACTCTGTATGGACAGTGCCCTGAGAGAGGCCAGAACTGTCCTCTCCTCAGCCGTCCCCTTCTTGACTCACACCCCACATCAGTGATGCCACCTTGTGCTCCAGCTCACTGAGGGTGGCCTCTCCACCCCTCGCCCTCTCCTTGGCTGCAGCAGTCAGTAGCATCGGTTCTTGTGCAATGCAGTAGCTCAGGTGACAAAATTACATGGGCATTCAGGGTGAAAACCACTCATTTCCTCTCAAGACGTGGTATTTTAGAACTCTGCCTTGCTGACAGTTGCTCAAAGATGTGGGTAACCATCTCAGCAGAGGTGGACAAGCAGGGCAGGAGCCTCTCCAGCATGTCCTCTGTTGTCACTGCACCTTGGGTTTGCTTTGCTTTCTAATGCCTTTGTGTTTTCCCTACCACAGTGAAACATTCTCATTTGTCCTAACTGGAGAAGATGGGAGCCGAAGGTTTGGGTATTGCCGAAGACTTCTGGTTAGTACGCTCTACTTTCCACTCAGCCAGAGCTCCATGGGCAGCCAGGTCTGGCTTCCTAGTCTCTCAAGACAAATTTCACCAGAGGTCACGGGAGAAGAAACAGGTAGTGTGGCAGGTTAGCCAGAGTAGTTAAAAATACAGAGAAAACAGGTGTGGTGGGACATGCCTGTAATCCCGGCTGCTCCAGAAGCTGAGGTGGGAGGATCTGAGGCTGGAGAATAGCCAGAGTAAAGCCATCCTGGGGTAAATATGGTTGATGTACTATCTATACAAGAATTAATATAGAATATTTAAACCTGTTGAAATTACCATAAGGGGACTGAGGTAGAAAGGAGAAAAATGAAGGGGATGAACCAAAAACAATGAAATAAAATAAAATAATAAGCCAGCTTGGGAAACAAAAGTGAGGCCCCCACCTCATAAAGAGGGGTGGAACCCTGAGAAACATTTGGGGCTCACTTGAGTTTTATTGAGAGAAAATACCTGATTGTCAGTCTCATCCCCAACCCCCACCCATGAAATTAAAGACCTTTCATTCCTTAAGCCAAGTGTCCTTTCTAATCTAATAGAACGTGCTCAACAAAAGCCAGGTGTGATGGCGCATGCCTGTCATCCCAGCACTCAGGAGACTGAGGCAGGAGGATCGAGAGGTCACCACCAGCCTGCTATATAGCAAGACCCTGCCTCAAAAAACAAAGCAAAGCAAAACAAAAACCCCACACATTTGAGTTCTTTGCTTCCCTAAGGTTGTGAGTGCTCGTAAGTCCTTGTGCTTCTCTCCAAACAGCCTGGGGGCAAAGGGAAGCGGCTCCCTGAAGTTTACTGCATCGTGAGCCGCCTCGGATGCTTCAGCCTCTTCTCAAAGGTGAGGACTGGGACCTCAGAGAAGGGACAGGGAGAGGGAGGGTCCCAGAAGGACCAGGGAGCTCCCTTCTCCTAGTGCTTTTAGACTAATCTCTTCCCGTTTTCTTCCCATTTCTTCACTCCTCCTTACCACCTCCATTGTCTCTAGGCATGGTAGTGCACATCTATAATCCCAGCACTGAGAAAACTGAGGCAGAAAGATCACAAGATTTAGGGCAGCCTGGGCTACATAGCAAGACTCTGTATCACAAGAAACAAAACAAAAAATACTCTATTTTTATTAAAATAGTAATATAATTTGGCCGTTCTTTCTGGAAAATAAGCCAGCATATTAATACATAGAAATTATCACACTGAATTGTGGGGAGCTGATTAAAGCCTATGAGAACTGGACACAAGCGAGGCGAGATGCAGTTAATTGCTTTTGCTTTTACCTGTAGGCTGAGACAGGCACAGCCCCGCTGTGCAGAACAGCTGCGTCTCCTAAATTGTGTTCAGAGAAGCCGGAACGCAGGTTTCTCCTGTTACAGTGTCACGCCCCTCTCCTGCTCCACCCTGTTTGCTGCTATAAAAGACCCCTGAATGAGGAAGAGGGGCTTTTGCCTTTTGGGCTTTACTTTGGACTTTGAATATTAGGAAGAAGCTTTACTTTGAGCTTTTTGGTGTGGGAAGCCTTTGGAAGGGGAAAGAATTGTTGAAGGTAAAGTGCTAAAGAGGGGCTGATAGAAAATCTGCACGGAGAACTTTAGCATAGGCTTCAGAAAGCAAAGCTGAGAAAGAACTTCATACATGGACCTTAGGAAAACTAAAGCTAAAGAAAAGCCAAAGAGGACAGGGGACAATGCACAGAGCAAGCGTAAGGACGGAGACCTTAAGAGCTATGCATGTGCAGATTATAGGCGCGGCTGTGCAAGTTTGAGCACCGAGGCTTTGAGGGAGCTGAAGAGAGATGGGACAGTGCGAGCCTGGGGCAAAAGACTTTAAGAGCGGTTAAACTAAAGATGAGCTGAGAGCAAACATGGGACAGTGCGAGCCTAAGGAAAGAGGTTTTAAAGAATACAAGGTGAAAGGTCTTAAAGAATCAACAAAGAAGAGAAGCAATGAGGGTTGTGTCTCCAGCCAAGTGTACAACACACCTGACCCCAACTTTCTGTCTGTCTGTCTGTCTGCCTATCCTGTATTTTTTCTAAGATCTCCAGTCACCCCTGGTTAAGCCCAGTTAGGTCCAGTAATAGCCAAGGAGCAAGAGAGGAAACCTTGCTCCAGCAAGGGAGGGAGCACGAGGAACAACGCCCCTTCACTGAATCATCTCATTCTCCCCAATGTTCTGGATTGCAGTATAGGAGAGAATTGCTACTCACGCAATGCTGATCTCCAAAATTAGGTACAGGGAGTGGGCGCTTAGCTCAGTGGAAGCGCTTGCCTAGCAGGTGCAAGGTTCTGGGTTCAATCCCCAGCACCATAAAAAAAAATTTTTTTAATTAGATATAGTCCTGTATTAACCAGACATAAGTGTCTAATCCACACATTTATTTTAAATCCTTCTTGAATATGCATCTCATTCTGAGCTTTTGGAGAACTGAAATCCCCACATCTACTGGGAGTGAATGTAAAACAGCACTTCCGTTTTGGTTTTTGGCAGTATTGTTATTTGAATTCAGGGCCTTGTGCTTGCCAGGCAGGTGCTCTACCACTTGAGCCATGCTCCCATCCCAAATCAGTGCTCCCTGAGAGCATTTCTAAAGAGAAATATACGTCCTGTTGTGCTCAGCAGAAGCCTGAGTTGCCGTTATATAGTTTCAGGGCTGTAGCAGGACCTCTTCCATGGTAGAACTTGAACTTCTCAGCCAGTCTGTTTGAAAGACTCACTGCTTGCGGTGTCATCTGAGACTCGCTGCCTCTCACCTCCTCTCCACTGGGTGGTGATCACTGCACAGCCAAGCTGGTCGTTCAAGCTCTAGCACAGATGCGCATCCCTGCAGGCCGGCCAGTCTTTCACCCCGGCCTTGGTTACAGGTGGAATTAGGCTGGAGGTGGCAGGCTTTGTTAGGTGAATCCCTGTGCAAGCCAGGAGTAAAGCAGCTCACAGAGTTAGTCCAGCTTCCAAGTGCACGCTTCGGTGTTCACGAAAGCTTCACGGTGTCCCACGCCCAGCAGGTTTACGTCCTAATGGGATTACACAGTGCCTATCCTCTGCTTCATGTCACTTTTCCAACCAGGGATGTATTTGTGGAAAAGCCTAGTGTGATGACTTAAACACCACTCGACAGATACTCGGGTCAGACCCTGAACCAGAGCTCAGGCTAACTGAAGCCACATGGAGACAAGATGTGGAACAAGTTGTCCTTTAGAACAGAGTCATGGAGAAGAGCAGCTCTAAGAATCTCTGGAGAAAGGGCGACCAGTTAACTGTTGCCACAGTAAGGCTGTGTGACAGCACAGGCTTACCACAACAACCATTTGTCCTCACAGATGTGCAGGCTGGCCAGGCCTTGGCTCTGCTTGGTCTCCAGGGCTCTCCAGGTGTGGCCAGTAGGCTGGACTTGGCTGGTCTCTGCTCCAGGTTGTGAGTCTGGACACAGGTCTAGTCCCCACATCTTCTATAGGCAGTGAGCTGCCCCTTCATGCTACCTCGTAGCAATGGCAGAGGCCAAAGAGCAATTGGAAGAAGAAAGGCAAGCCTCCGTAGGCCTAGACCCAGAGCTGGACAGCCATCACTTCTGCCTCATTCTGTTAGCCCAGCGTTTCCTTATCCTCCTAATGCAGCCTTAGAAGACATGTACAAGTCAAGTGGGTGGGGTGGCACGCCTGTCATCCCAGCTACGCAGGAAGTATAAGTAGGAGGATCGTGGTCCAGAACAGCCTGGGCATAAATGTGAGATCTTATTCAAAAAATAATGAAAGCAAAACGGGTGGTGGCACTGGTAGTTCACGCCTGTAATCCTAGCTTCTCAGAAAGCACAGATCAGGAGGATCGTGGTTCAAAGCTAGCCCAGGCAAATAAATAGTTTGTGAGACCTATCTTGAAAATACCCTACAACAACAAAAAAAAGGCTGGTGGAGCAACTCAAGTGGTAGAGCTCCTGCTAGCAAGCGTGAGACCCTGAGTTCAAATTCCATTCCTGCCCAAAAAAAACAAAATGCATATGTTAAGGTCTGGGAGTATAGCTTCATGTTAGAACCCCTGCCTAGCATGCACGTGAACCTGAGTTTGAGCCCAGAGGGAAAAAAAAGAATACACATGTTAGTCAAGTAAGTCACAGATCAGACCTAAAGTCCAGGTCAAGGAACTACACTTCTGCCTTTTAGCAGTACGAAGTACAAAGTCACACAGCAAAGGGAGAATTGGGGTCAAAGATGCAGAGTCAGAGAGCCTGGAAGTGTGGCCTGAAGAGACCTGTAGGAAATGCCCATAATCCCTGAGTGTGCATGGGGGGCCCACCTCATCTAGAACTGGGCTGCCCTTGGTCACCCTGGCTCCAGCAGTGCTGAGCTGCTCTTCTGATCCTTGCAGATCTTGGATGAGGTGGAAAAAAGACGAGGCATCTCTCCTGCCCTGGTACAGCCTCTCATGAGGAGTGTCATGGAAGCCCCTTTCCCAGCCCTAGGCAAAACCATTGTGGTCAAAAACTTCTTGCCAGGCTCGGGGACTGAGGTAAGTGTCAGATTCCTCTTCTCCCCCAGAAGAACAAGTGGTCCAGGCAGCCATGTCCCAGTGGTCTGAGGGATTGGTTTTCAGTGGTCCATCAAACTCAGTGGTATCCACTCCACTCCCTGGGTGTGTCCAGATCATTCTTCATAAGTTCTGCCCTCAGTCCAATCCATTCAGTTGAGGGTTCAGCCTCAGTGAGCAACCGCAAAGGACCATGCTGAGCAAAATAGGGGTTGTTTGCATGACGCTGGCCTCACAGGTCACAGGTCAGAGACACGCACTAAATATCCTTAGCTTCTCTTAATAGCCCATGGCCATTTATATATCTTATTTGAACTGATTTACATTTTGAGTCTGTGTCTCCTCTACATTTTTATAATGAAAAACAGATTCTTTTCAGGGGAAGACCAGCTCAGGTGCAATTTTTTATTTATCTTAGACTTTAAGCATGTTCCTTCCTTGCCAGGCTGGGATTTGATGAAGGAGCTCATTGTTATCCTCCTGTCCCCTTCATGGGGCCCTGGGAACAGCAGAAGACTGAGCCCATCCTGCCTTGGGTCTCCAGTTCCAGTTCCACAGGCCCTGAGATAAACCAGGTCATCTGTGGAGACAAAGGAGAGCTGGGGATGGGTCTGTGACATTGGAGGGGTGGGGGGGAGGAAACAGTTTCCCAGCACAGAGAGCAGTTGCTGGAAACCTGAAACCACCCCACACCAGACTGGTGACTTGGCCATGGGGAATGTGGCGGGAGGTTAGCGGTGTGGTGAGTGAGTCCCAGTGTGGGAAGAATACGGGCACATGGGCTGGGAGAATGCAGTCTCCACTCACCTGACCATGAAGGAGTCAGCTCTTTACAGAAAAAGCATACACGCATTAATCCCAGCCACCAGGAAATGGAGATCGGAGGCTTGTGGTTCAAGGCCAGCCTGTGCAAAAAGCCTGAGACCCTATTTGAAAAACAAGCTAAAAACAAAAGGGCTAGGTGTGTGGCTCAAGTGGTGTGCACTTGCTTAGCAAGCACAAAGCAAACTCCAGTAGCAACCTGATGAATTCAGGGACATTTCAGTGAATACCGATTTAAAAGATAGACACACTGAACCTAACAGCTGAAAAGACACATCATCAGAAAGTGACTAGAATAGGGCTGCGGTTAGCCAAGAAATGCCTTCTAGAGGAAGGCGTCTTGGAAGGGCTGCTCAGATCTGCTGGTCATATCCAGTGCACCTGGGATTCCCTTCTAGCAGGTAACAGTCCCTCTGGAGACAGACGCTTTCTGCTGGGATTCTACAGGCTAGCACAGTTTTCAACATAGAACTGACTCTTCCATGTGGAGTCCAGATACACTTTTGCCAGTACAGCCTCCTGATTTGTTGAGTCAGAGGCCATTGATTCTGCCATCCCCTTTCCTCACTTCCATCCAAATATCCTCAGTTGCCTGTGAGACACTTGCATCCCTACCAAATATAACTCCTTCCCCAGTTTCCTGGGAGCTTTCTTTTCCCCAATCCCTTTTGTTTTCCTCTTTTTTCTTTCCTTTTCCCCTGCCAGTGGGTCACCCCTGCTGAGGACCTCAGAGCCCCAGGGACCACACCGCCTGGGAGAGGCTGAGTAGGCGGCCACCTTCATAGCTGCTCCTGTTCCCTGGCAGGTGATTGAGCTGTGCCGCCCGCTGGACTCCCGGCTCGAACACGTGGACTTTGAGTCTCTCTTCTCCTCCCTCAGCATCCGCCACCTGGTCTGTGTCTTTGCCTCCCTGCTTCTGGAAAGAAGGGTCATCTTCATTGCAGACAAACTCAGGTACTACCCTTGGCTACTTCTGCTAAAGTGTGTGAGTGACAGTTGGTCTTGGACTCTGAAGTGTGTACAGCAGGCAACTGGCCAGGATTAGGCTAGGTTCCCAAGAGATGATGGCAGCCCACCAAGTCGGGAGATGTTTTAGAGGCTGTGAGTTCTGAAGGTGGATGGAGGGCACTTGTCCCAGGGAAGGTGAATCCTGAATGAGCACTTAGACTCAGAATCAGTAGGAAGCATACCGCAGGCAAAAGGAGGCTGTGTCTGTGCAAAGACTAGGGATTGGGGAAAGCCATGCGTGTCACCTTCACTGTGGCTGAAGTGGAGGAATTGGGGCCAGAAGAGAAGGGCAGGAAGAGGGGCCAGGTGCCAGCTTCAGAAAGGCCACAGGGCCAGGAAGAAAGTACAGACTTCTTCAAGACATCCCTCTCCTCCCCATTTTTTTGTGTTTGTTCTTTGTTTTGGAGTACTGGGGTTTGAACTCAGGACCTTGAACTTGCTGGGCAGGTGCTCTATCATTTGAGCCACACCTCCAGCCTCACACACACAGAGGAACTCACTGCCCACTCAGATGCCACCCACATCTCAATGGTCACATTCTGTGATTTGCAAAAGCCATGACACAAATCCAAGAAGACCCAGAAGGAAATGCAGATGGGGATTCGGATTAGTTCTGAGCTTGTAACAGAGGAAGAATTCTTTGTATTTTCATAATTTCAAAACACTGACTGGGAGCCTCTTTGGAACCGAGTGTGCAGAAGTACATGGTGCCCTCTTCCTGCTGCTCCAGGAAGAGCCAAGATGTGGGGGCTGCCAACCGGCCAGAGCAGAAGAGGCCACCTGAGAGGTTCATCTGGAAAGAAGACATGCCAGAAACAAAACAAAAAAATGAAAAACCAACTGTGGCTTGGGAGGAAATACGACTCTGGACTGTGGAAAACAAAAAGAGAGGAAGAAGAAAAGGAATAGAAGGGAAAGGACAAAATGTATCAATGGCAAGGTAGAATCCATCAGGGGGCGTGTCCTGTCCTCACTGCAGCCATCTGGTCATCCTCCTGATGCTCCACTTTGGACCACTGCCACTTGGCTCTTCCCCACTGCCTCAATTCACTTTCAAATGCCACAGTCATTGTCCTCCTCTTGTGCTTTTGTCAGCTCAGGAAGCAGGCCCCGTCTCCAGCCTGCAGCTGGTGCTGGGCACTGGGCAGTTCTCCAAGCTCCCTGGACACTGGGGAAATCAGACAGTTCTCAAGGTTGGGGCCCTGGAAGTGCAGAATGAGTAATAACCCTTCAGTGGCCAAGGTTGTATTTCATCAGCTCTATGGTAACTGTCCCAATTCTCTGGAAAGCCTCTTGGATTCTCAGGCTTGGATTTGGGGGAGGGGAAAGTGATAGATTCCCGAAAGGTGAAGGCACTTCTTAGTGCATGGCACAGTAGCTCACACTGTCATCCCAGCTACTCCATCATCTGAGACCAGCCTTGGTGAAAGCACAAGACCCTATCTGAAAAACAAACAAAAGCAAAAGGACTGAGGGTGTGGCTCAAGTGGTGGGCAAGAGGCCCTGAGTTCAACTCCCCCAAAAAAGAAGTGCAAGACCAGCAACATAAACCTAGCATTTGCTAGAGGTTGATTTGGGGACACAGCCCCTAGGGAACTTGCTTCTGGGGTGAATATGTTTGACTTGAGAAGGCCACACTGAAGGAAATGACAAGTGTACCTGGAGTGGAGCAGGTCAATCATGGGGTGCTCCACCCTCAAGAGAACAGAAAGTACCATTAGTTACCTGGTCAAAGTACAATGAAAGAAAAGATAGGAACAGGATGGAGGAGGGGACCTTGTCCAAGACAAGTATCTCCCCAAAGGGCAGTGGAGAAATACCCTAGAAGCCTCAGGGCATGAGTGAACCTGGGAAAACATCCTAAAAATGTGACTAAGAGGCATGAGCCCCACTACTATTCCTTTGGATAGACTTCTGGGTGGACCTGGGCCAGCCCCTCCCACAGAGGTGCTGTTATGAGGGACAAAGGAAAACTGAGCAGACCTTAGTGGCTGTGAGTGGACCCTGGCTCAGCTGGTTGCCCAGCGCCCTCCCTGCCCCACCTGGGGCAGCTTCATGCAGGAGGCAGCTCACCTCCAGGGTCTGCTAGGAGGGACTCTGGAGTTTCCCTCCTCACCGCACCTTCCCTGGGCCCGGTATTCTGCCCTAGAGACTTGGTGCCTCAGAGCACACGTGCCCAGGAGAGGGAAGCAGGGTGCCCACTGTGGCTGCTGCAGGCACATGTTGCAAAGGAGGGTTTCTTTTGCAGCAGCTGTGCCTGCTGGGTGCTTCAGAGGGGACTTTTCTAGGGGCGAAGAAGGCGGCAGGAACATGACTCATTTTGGTGTCCTCCTTGGGGCCAGAGCCTGTGTGTGGTGCAATAATTACTGTGTGTGTGTGTGTGTGTGTGTGTGTGTGCATGTGTGCATATGAAATACCTTGCCTGCATTTCTGACCCTTCGCTTCTTCACAGCTTCCACAGGTGCCATCCCTTTCTCATCACCCTGGGAGGTTTTCCCAGAGCAGGGAGGATCCCTGAACACCCTTAGCCCTTGGCCTTGGACCCCCTCACTCATGATGCCTAGAGGTTGACTGAGCCCAGACCTCTCTGGTTCTGACTTTCCTTGCAGGCAGCTGCTCTTTGCCTTCTCTCTCTTGCCCAATAAATTATCTTTCCATCTTACGCTAGTCCCATGCAGACCTGCATGGGTGGGAAAATACGTAAACACTCAGAAAGCTCCAGGACAGGACGTGAAGAAGACCTAGAGCAGCAAACCTGAAGAGAATGACTACAAGTGGGCCGTGTGGAGACTTGCCTGCAAGCCAGGCACCATTCTCAGTCTGGCCTGCACTTTCTCCTGCTCCCCACACCCCAGTCAGACAGGTGCGATCATCAGGATGCAGAAAGGCACAGACATTTAGTCACTTTGCTCTAAAGACACAACAATGGAGCCACCAGCTTCGATGGTCTAGAGCAGGTGACAAGCAGAGTCTGGGGCCCTGTCTGTCTACAGAAATGTAGGAAAGTCTTTGTCAGGCAGGCCATTAAGACCCCTTGTGAGTGGCTGGGCATGGTGGCTTGCACCTATAATTCTAGCTGCTCAGGAGGCAGAGATCAGGAGGATCACAGTTCGAGGCCAGCCCAACCAAAATGAAAGTGAGCTCTATCTCAAAAATACCCAACACAAAAAAAAGAACTGGCAGAGTAGCTCAAGTGGAGCTTGAGCTCCTGCCTAGCAAATATGTGGCCCTGAGTTCAAACCCCAGTACTGCCCAGAAAAAAACAAAAACAAAAAAACCCTTGTGAGCCAAGTATGGTAGCATTCACCTACTCACCTGTAATCCTAGCTCCCAGGAAACTGAGGCAGGAGGATTGTGAGTTCAAGGCCTGGCTACATACTAAGACCCTGTCTCAAAACAAACACACACAACCCCCTTTTTGCTCAGCCAGCAGGTGAAGTTGTTGCTAGGATGGCTGGGCTTTTCTCCTCAGAGCCCTCTGTCCCTGGACAGCCCTTGGCCTTCCAGTAGGGCCCTCACTGAGGCTGATGTCACTGAGTGATTCACAAGTCTCTCATGGCTCGGAAACTTTCTAAAATTGCTCCATGAAATTCTCTGACTCATGGACCAGGTTGGAGGCATCTGTCCACCTCGTTGTGTTGATTTCTGTGAGTGTAGCTTAAGGAGTTGAAGGGTTCTTTTGCCAGACTTTGACAAACAAGGGTTTGGGGAGCAGTGCCTGGCTGCAAGTTTCCTGACCTGGGAAAAAAACATCCACATAAGTTACAGCTGCTCTTAAAACTCCATCCACTGTACACTCTCAGGTTCCCAGGCCTGCTCAGCCAAAAGTGGAAGAAAGCCTCCTTATTCTGATTTCTCTCTCTGGTCCCAGTCTTGGTGAGGCCACAGAGCAGAGCATGAGAACAGGACATGTCACAAACCCAGTGAGTGACCCTGTGACATCCCAGGGTGCACCTTAGCCTATCCACACAGGCTCCTCACAGACACGATTTATTCACTCATTGCTAGGGACTTTGCCCTCTGAAAGAGGAAATGGCAGGGAGTTATGGCAAACGTTTGTGAGTTTTAAAAGGGTTTTAAGTTGAGCCAAAAATCTATCAAATTTAAAATAACATTTTTATTTCGTTTCATCTTTAGGGTGGACATTGAGTGTGTCTAAATGCTCTGTCAAGCCAAAGTTTGAGAGATGGGAAAGAAAGAATGTTGTTATGATGACTTATTCTGTTGTCTTAACAACCGATAAATATTTCCCTAAACCCCTGTCTTCATTTTCTTGATGATAAGCATTTTGTTTTTTAGTTTACTGATTTCAGCTCCAAAAAGTTTTCACTAAACCTATAGACCAGGCTAAATAATAGCCAGAGCTGCACATAAAAAAGTTTTAGATGGCACAAAGTTTTATTACTCAAGAAACTTTACTTTCTGCCATGCACTGGTTGCTCACACCTATAATCCTAGCTTTCAGAAGACAGAGATCAGGAGCATCAAGGTTCAAAACTAGTCTGGGCAGATAATTTTCGAGACCCTATCTCAAAAAAATCCATCACAAAAAAAAAAGGACTGGGAGAGAAAAGGTACAAAAATGGGACAATTACTGAATTTGATTAAAGTTAGCCTGAGTTCTGTAAAATATTTTTACAAGTAGTACTAATAAAGAAGA